TCACCTACAGACATAATCAAAGGGAATGGTGTCATCTACGTTCACGATGGCGTACCTTCCTCAGTTGGTTTCAAGCCGAACTGGAGTTCAAAGCACCAATTTAGGGTACCTGACTATCCTTCGTTCCAACAAAAGAAAAACTTGGTTCGAATCGTTTTTGATGTCGAAATCAATCTTGGAGGGAAGTGGGCGGGGGGAACACTTGCCTCCATTCGCTTAAGTCCCCTGGACAACATAATGATATGTCCAGCAGTGTACATCCCCTTTAAAGCCAGCAGGGGAAATAACGCGTTAGTCTTACATAGAAGCTAACTTGCAGAGAAGCTCTGTCATCAGCACGACATCCCAAAGCAAGCTGGACCCACTCGGGGCTTGTCTCAAATACGCCCTCCTCATATTGCGGAACCTGACTGGGCGTGGAAGTCCATTCTCCTCTAGCCATGACCTAGTGGGTGCTGTCTTTGCAGGAGGGCAAGGGTCTCCCTATTTTGGGAAATAGTTGTCTCAAGACACGGGAACCCAAAATAGTTTTTTTCCATGTGTTCAGCCCCCAGCAAATAACACAGACACACCCAAGCAGCTCCTTGGGCACCACAAACGGAAGCCAGCGAACCATAAGGCGTCAATTCAACTCATCTTAAAACATGCACACACTATGCCGCTACTAGGAACAACAAGGGAGCTCAACTACTTCTCCAAGGTAGTGCTGACCCCGGAGTGACAAACTTTGCGGATCAACAGGGCATGTGTTTTCTCCGAATGAATCGGCCCGAAATGGGACACACCCATCCAAATCACCCATATCCTTGCGGAACCTTGGAACCCTAGCAGCACCAGAGGCCCTTGGATTGGCCAAAACCCCGTAACTGTCGCTGCGGAAATACATAGCCTCTGCCTCCCAGGTCACCCAATTCCTCTTCTGTCGTGCCGTACTATTAAAAAAACTGACCTCACTTCCTGAGTGAATTGGAAAAACAGAATTCTTCAAGCGTGTCCAAACGCTAAAGTAGTCCGAACCCAAGGTTTACCAAACTAGTCCAATCCTCCGAAGAAAAAACAACAACAACAACAACAACAACAACAACAACAACCACAACCACAACCACAACCACAACCACAACCACAACCACAACCACAACCACAACCACAACAACCAACAACAAACAACAACAACCAACAACAAACAACAACAAACACAACAACAACAACAACAACAACAACAACAACAACAACAACAACAACAACAACAACAACAACAACAACAACAACAACAACAACAACAACAACAACAACAACAACAACAACAACAACAACAACAACAACAACAACAACAACAACAACAACAACAACAACAACAACAACAACAACAACAACAACAACAACAACAACAACAACAACAACAACGACAACGACAACGACAACGACAACGACAACGACAACGACAACGACAACGACAACGACAACGACAACAACAACAACGACAACAACAACAACAACGACAACAACAACAACAAACAACAACGACAACAACAACGACAACGACAACAACAACAACAACAACAACAACAACAACAACAACAACAACAACAACAACAACAACACAACACAACACAACACAACAGCAACAGCAACACAACACAACACAACAACAAACAACAACAACAACAACAACAACAACAACAACAACAACAAGACAACAACAACAACAACAACAACAACAACAACAACAACAACAACAACAACAACAACAACAACAACAACAACAACAACACACAACAACAACAACAACAACAACAACAACAACAACAACAACAACAACAACAACAACAACAACAACAACAACAACAACAACAACAACAACAACAACAACAACAACAACAACAACAACAACAACAACAACAACAACAACAACAACAACAACAACAACAACAACAACAACAACAACAACAACAACAACAACAACAACAACAACAACAACAACAACAACAACAACAACAACAACAACAACAACAACAACAACAACAACAACAACAACAACAACAACAACAACAACAACAACAACAACAACAACAACAACAACAACAACAACAACAACAACAACAACAACAACAACAACAACAACAACAACAACAACAACAACAACAACAACAACAACAACAACAACAACAACAACAACAACAACAACAACAACAACAACAACAACAACAACAACAACAACAACAACAACAACAACAACAACAACAACAACAACAACAACAACAACAACAACAACAACAACAACAACAACAACAACAACAACAACAACAACAACAACAACAACAACAACAACAACAACAACAACAACAACAACAACAACAACAACAACAACAACAACAACAACAACAACAACAACAACAACAACAACAACAACAACAACAACAACAACAACAACAACAACAACAACAACAACAACAACAACAACAACAACAACAACAACAACAACTCCTGGGACCGCAAGACGCTGATCCGTGTTCGAGGTCCACGCCCTTCCCTTGAAGACTCCTTACAATGGTCCAGCCCAAGTGATTGTCCAGGAACTCAGCAAAAGTAAAACTGGCGCATGGAAACGCTAAACCCCGAAACTCAAAGAAGTGACATATCCAAAAGGTGATGATTCAACCGGCTGAAAATGGCACCCCTGGAGTAAGTGCCGTGCTTTCATCTGGAGTAACCCTGGTTTCTGGTCATGTTTGATGGAGAGAGCAACTCCTCTCAGTGGTCAAATCCGGATCACCCTTGTGGGTGACACCCTTCACACAAGTAGCATGGTTTCCGGGGTTCCCTTCTTTTAGCAAGCTTGTCAACACGGTGGAACCCCCCTGAGGTTGGTACTTAGTTTCAGGGAAACCAAGAAGGAAACCAGTGTGTCAAAATGGAGGACCCCTTGATTTGGGTACTTTTTCCAGGTAAGCAAACAGGACACCAACCTGCCATTGTTGGCCAACCCAGGTGCCGTGTTTGCTTCGGAATGTGTCAAGTTCGCCAGGCCACAACAGCCTGCCGAGCCGTCCGCCTTGGCTTTCCTGGGCGCGTCTTCCTCCTGGAAGGCTGAGACCCCACTTGGGTATGGATTTTAAGCAGGGACCCTTTCTCAGCTGCTTTCTTCTCCCCTGCTAAAAGTTTAACTGTTGCGGTTTCGTGGGAAAACCCATTTGTTGGCAACAAGTTAAAGTCCTAACATCCAAGCAAACATGCACCAAAGCTTTGGTGGACACCATTCAGGTGGGGATTCATGACCAATCACTGAGCTGGTTCCCTGTTCAAAGTGGCCATTTACCTGGAGCCCAATGGACTCTTGCTGTTCTGCCGTTGACGCCGTTGACCCGCACAAAAGGGATAGACAGGCAAAAACGGGGGGATTCTCGAAGGGAGTATCGCGGCGGTGTTGACCATGGCAATTTTGATTTGCCTGCCACTTCTTTGTGGGTTAGGCAGAAAAAGAATTGGGTCCTTCGGGGGTCCACGAGATTGGCTTCCTTGGTGTTTCCCGCGGAATTGTTCCAAAGTTCCACCGAATCGATCATATTTTGAAAATACTGCCTGGTTCGACCGGGGAATCAAGGAATGACACCCATCCAAATGGCTTCCTGCAAAATGGAAGACATGGTGTATTCTCAAGACCCCTGTTGATTCCCAAGAGCCAGCAAAAGACATGGCCCTTTGCAAAGGACACCAAAAGACCCGTTCGCCAATGTTGCGCGCTTGGGGTTTTGATAAGAAATCATTCAAAAACTGTCCAGGCTTAGGGTGTTCTAAAGGAACGAAAGGACACCATTCACCAACTGTTTTCCTTCTGGGTTGCGCCCAGCGAAAATTCTGGCAAAGGCAAACCAAGTTGGGCTTTGGCTTCCTAAAAAAAGCTAACACGCGGAAACCAAAGGAACACCGTTCACCAACTGTCCATCTGGCAACCAGAAAGCAAAAAACAACACGGGCCAACTTTCTACTGTTGACCCCATATGAATCAACCCCCCTATGAAAAAACTGGGGTGTTCTCCTCCACAAGTGGTCTGATTCCCCACTGAACCCAGGGACACCCAGCTAAAAAGACTGGTTGGTTGATAAACCTGGGTTCAATCTTGCCCTTCGGATCCCACGTCTCGCTCCTCCATCCTCAAGGGCTCATACTGGCCTGGCATGGCGCCTGAAGCGCCCGCCCCCAGGCTCGAGCTACATGGCTGCGTCAAACCCGGGAACAACGGCGGGTTTGTCTGTGGGTTTTCCTGCAAATCAAACTGACCTTGAAAAGGGTACCGTGAAAAAAATGCATCCAATAGCCGGCTGAAAAAACAAGTCGCAGGGCTCGAGCCCTCGACCACACTTGCTGTAGGGGATTCCAGATATTGGAAGGTCATAAGTCAGCAACTTGGGACGCACCACCCTTTTCCCAGTCGAACATACAGTTTATACTCTAAAATCCGGTACCTGTGTGGACTGCCTAAAACCTATAGATGAGCTAGCTAAAACTTGCAGACTGCTACAACTACCCAATACCTGACGTATGTGCGGGGCGACGGATGTGATCTGATTCCAGGAAAATCTGTCATGCGACCTCCAAACCCGCGTGAGACCGGCCAGCCACTGGAAATATCCGGCTTCAACAAATGTGGAACATTACCTCCCAGCCCTGAAGCCTTGGCCTAGCCCCCGTATACTTGCATGTCGTCAACGTGGTCTTTCGGGTTTCCTGTTACAACCCTCTGTCTGGTCCCATGTTGAAAACTGCAGGGCAGGGGAGGAAAGACCCCCAAGAGCAATCATCCAAAAACATAGTGTGTAATCTATAACCTGTACCCGGTCATCTAGACACAATAACCTATCACTGGCCCAAGTAAATACACAACACATAATACCTTCTGACTCGGTTCCAGATTTAGTCTAGTCCAAAATTCAATTTATGTTGGAGGATAGCCCAGCTACTACATATATTTTGGTCATTTCCTCCAGACTAAGCAGCTGGCGCACTCCTCGTGCTTGCCCATCCTCGGATGCAGCTGGGTAAGCCGGTGAAGGGCTTCTTGCTTTGTCCACCTGGGAGGGCCCTCAAAAAACAAGCTGGCTAAGCCCGCCCCCCCGCCCCCCCGGCAAAAAGACAACTACAACATGACTTGACCGACTTCAGTGCAGGGGTTCTTGACAGTCTGAACATTACTCCGGTACTTGCCTTTGGGCCCTTCAAAGGTCACGCTTTGAATGGTCAAATGATGTCAAATTGTGTCTTGAAAACGAAGCCCTGGTTCCGAAACCGAACCGGAAGTTGCAACCCAACCCCTGTCGGATGCAGAAAGCGCCCCCAAAAACCGGAGCTGACCTTTTTGCCAACATGGGAGCCTATGTCGTGCAACCTGCTGAAATGGCCCCTGGGGGACTTGGGCTGTGGAGGTTTCAAAGGCGCACACTTGGCCAAGGGAATGGAGTCCGTGGACGGGTTCGTCAACTGCTATGGGCGAACAAAGACCAGCAGCAATCCAATGAATCGACCCCCTTGTTTCAAGGGGAAACCGTCTAGTGGTCTGAATAACCCAGGTTGCCGTGTTTCAACAAGACTCGCCATGATGGAACAAAGCAACTGGCAAGAAGAGCAGTCGGAGGAAACCTCGAGTTGTTCGCTGCCAACGAGAGCTGTGCGGCTCCACTCGGGCTATTCGGCAACTTCTCTGACTGACTCACGCTCACTTCCGATCGGGTGGATTGGCTAAACAAACTCCAAAGCGGCTAAAGACCAGAAAAACTCAGGAAGTCAGGCAAGCAGCCAAGAACCTCTGCACCACTCCTGTTTGAACAGCACAAAACCCATTGGCGCTTGGTTCTACCAACGCGATAGCGCGAAGAAACAGCAAAAGTTAATGCAAGGGGCTGAATAATACGCACGCACTTTCTCTTGATCACCACAAAAACTGGTTGCACCAAAGTTCAAGCCCATAATTGTTTCGCCACCCAACCGAAGAGCAAGGAACCTGCAAGATCGAAAGTCGACGCTATAAACTTCCCATGCTCAAATGTAGGGAGCCTTGCGTAAGAAGAGCCCCCAATTTAGGGAAATAGGGGCATACAAAACCTCCGACAAGGTAGAAAACAAATAGGGACATCCCTGTGAGTTGATGCTGTCTCTAGGAAGATCTGTGGCTCCAAAAGAGAACCATGGGTGAGATCGAAAAGGACTCAACCCTTAGAATTGTCTTATCCCAGAGATTCTCTGGTTGGCCCATGTTCTCGGCAAAAAACACCGAAGAGCAGGCCGTTCATCCCATTCAGCGGATTCCCATGACGGAAACAGGCCAGCTTTCCTTAGTTCGTTTAAAAAGGAAACGGACTTAGTTCGTCTTAATTCGAAAAACCGTCCAGCAAAAAAAAATGACGAAAGGAAACAACCCACCGGTCCAGCCGACCAGTCGCCGAGGCTCTCAATGAGGCAGGCCGCGAGGTTGGTGCAGATAGGCAGCTGCAGCTTGGTGGCCACCTGTGAAAACCATCCGCCGAGGCCGGGGGAAGCGGCAAGGCCCATGGCAACATGGCTGTAGGTCAAAACCCAAACAAACCCCTGGTGAACATCAAAATCGGTGGCAAATGGATATTCATTTTAACTTTCAGTGGTTTAATGGAAAACCTATTAGTTGGCAAAAAGTTATAAAGTCCTAACATCCAAGCAAAATGCACCTCTGACATGGCTGTGGGTCAAAACCCAAAGAAACCCCTGGTGAACATCAACATAGGTGGCAAATGGATGTTCATCCACCCCAAAATGGAGCCATTGGTTATGCCCCATGGCCACATGAGTGTGTGTGTGTGTGCTCGGTTGCTTTCTGCTCCCCTGCTAAAAGTTTAACTTTCAGTGGTTTAATGGAAAACCTATTAGTTGGCAAAAAGTTATAAAGTCCTAACATCCAAGCAAAATGCACCTCTGACATGGCTGTGGGTCAAAACCCAAAGAAACCCCTGGTGAACATCAACATAGGTGGCAAATGGATGTTCATCCGCCCCAAAATGGAGCCATTGGTTATGCCCCATGGCCACATGAGTGTGTGTGTGTGTTGTCTGTTTCGCGGTAAGTCTTTGCGTGGTTTCGAGGGGAGCTAGGCGCGTCTTTGGGTGTCCCCTGGTTTAAGACACACAGAAACACGCGGCAAGACGAGTACCCAAGGACAATACATGCAAACGCCCAGACACATTCTGCATTTCGGAGTTTTGCAGTGGTTCAGTGAACCTCTCGCGGAATCGTATCTTGGCTTGTGCTCAGGGAATGCCTCTCGCGGAATCGTATCTTGGCTTGTGCTCAGGGAATGCACCAGGAAAGCAATTTTAAACGTTTTCATCTTGACCAGTCAATAGCCACACGATTACAATGGAACAGAGGGACCCTAGTGGCCTGATTAGGCATTAATGGGGCATACTACCTGGGGGTCTTTGGGGTGTGTGGTAACCCAAGCCCTCGGGACAATTTCCCCAGGGCCTCAGTAAGAGGTTGTGCCCAAAGGCCTACGTTGTCCCCAAAGGCCGACCTGCGGGCCAAACATGGTCTGGGAAATGGCAAACAAACACTCCACTCGTCAATTTCCTGTTGTGAAAGCTACAACTTGTTGGGAATTTCGCACCTAGTTAAGAAGGGTTCTCGCGAAGAAGAAAAAACAAAAAGAAGAACAAACAAAAGGAAAAAAAGTGAGGGGTTCCGTGACCCCATATGATTCCCTTCAATGCATTTGTCAACAAGAGTGTAGTGCAAAAGCCGACCCTCCTCCCAGGGGACGGCGATGCCTTCCAGAGGTGGCTCCCCAGCAAAATGTGTAGCCGATTTTCGGGTCTGCGCGTCTGCGCGCTCTCGACTCGTACGCTCTCGTGCCTCAGAGTTCTGCGCGTCGTCGCCATCGAAATCAAGTCCCACCAGGCAGTCGTTGTAGAGCTGCGCGGCCTGAGCCAAATGGCCGGGTCCTTTTGACCGAGTCCTGCTTTTCTGCCTAGCACCCCTTGTTCCAAGATCCCCAGATTTCCGTTGGAAAAGGGCGCTGCTGCGTTTGTCTGGCCAGAATTTCGACTCTTGAAATCAGTTTGCACATTCTAGGACCAGTAGGTTTGGCCTGAAAAGAGGGGACAAGATGCTCTTGAACATTTGGCAGTTGACATGAGACATTCATGATCTCATTGGCAAACGAACAAACAGATCTTGACAGTAGACCCATAAGACCTGATGGCCAACTTCGTCTGACACCGCATCGAAGATTGCAAAGCGCAAGACCAAACCACGAGTTCGAAACCGCTCGGGTCCCCAAAATCGAACCCTGGTAAGTGGAAACATGGACCAAAACCTGCGGCCCTGGTGGTTTAATTTTGACCCATACCCATGTGTTGTTTTTGGAGGGCAACCCTTTTTGGGTTGCTTCAAAGGGAACAAACGGTTCCTGTGGGGGTTCCCTCAAGAAAAGACAGACCTATTTGGAGACACACCAGCTGAACGTACGGCTTGCAAGCCGGCCTCTTCGAACTTGCTGGAGGCGTAGCTCTGATTTGCTTGGTCCTGGACAGTAAGAGATCCCAGCTGGGTGAAAGTAGATAACTGCAGATTAATCCGGACCGTCCTAATCAGGGGTGGAAAAGCCTTTAAGCACATGATCAATTTTTTGGAGGTTCCTCTGACTGGTAGCGTCCTCCAAATTCATCCGAAGTTCATACTAAGACACTCCCTCCATGTTGGCTGCATCACCCCCGTTACCCAGAGAATCTACTTTCATCTAACCAGACACCCCCCCAAAGATTACAAGGAGAGGTCTTTGGCACTCGGCACTGGGGAATCCATCTCCGTGTCTTCAAAGGTGACCCGGGCACCCCAAAGACCTGGACCCCCATTGAACTAAGTAGAAGGCTTGTTCACCCCCAACCCTCAGTTTGACCGAGCTTGACCCCAATCACTCGGGGGGTGGGGGGGGGGGGAGAAAGGGGGGGGGGGGGGAGAGAAAAGGAGTGTCGTTATGCTTGGCCTGCAATGCTGTTCCTGAAAGTCCTTCTTGAGACATTCACCTTTGAACCTAATTTAACGGGGTCCAAGCCTCTAAGGGGTACTTGGGTGCTCAAGCAACATCAGGTGAGTCATAATAAAAACCCGGTATTAACATGGTCTACCCAGAACCATGTAAAGAATTAAGACTGCGGCCGCAGCTACTTATGGTGCGGATTGTCCCTAACCTTCATCTACCCTGGTTTTGATTGCGGCTCAGGCTCGAGGGTAAGGGAACCCAACCAATCCAAGCCTCCAACAGGTACTTGGGTGCTCAAGCAACATCAGGTGGTAAGCATTCAGCCGGAGACATTTTCCCACTCGCAGCTTTCGGTCCTTGAGATCCAAGGCCCAGTGCAGCTTCTCCTGGAGGTTCTTCGCGGGATGGGGAAACCAAGCTTGGAGGGACCCTGTGACAGGGGGGCCACACTTTTGGTGGCTTTCCTTCTGGTTCCCCTTTGAACCAACCCCTGATAGCGTTAAAAAAAAGGAAATTCCAGCTTGGGGTGCCTGCGCGGGAACCCCGTTTAGCCTCCCAACCTTTTAGGGGGGCCCACAAACTATATGGTAAAATGAAAGTCCAAGAGCAGAATTTAGATTTGGATACTGCACAAGCTGGGCTCTCGACCCCTCAAAAGATGTCTCGTGCAAGTGAGCTCGTTCAAGTTATCTTGAGCAAATTCTATGCTATGGCTGTGGCTCAAAAAACCGGTACCGAAATGGAACTTTGGTAAGTGGAAACATGGACAAACACCTGCGAAGCCCCTCCTGCTTAGTTTTGAGCCACACCCATATGCAGCAAGCCATGGACCATCATGACCCGTGGCTCGCAAACAAGGAAGATCACTTTGCCCCGCGGGTCCGCGCCTCCCGCGTCATGGTTTTGACGTGCTCGGCGCCTGGGCGGACGGGCGCCATAAAAAGGCCACGTCCTGAGATGTCATTCGGACTTTTCATTCTGGGATGGATGCAGGGTTCGTTTGGATGTTCAACAACGTCAGCTAAGTAGCTTACACAAATGGTTTCAACTGGGGTAACGGGAACTGGGGGGTCCCTCTCGGGGGTGTTGAGAGGCAACCCTGGTTTGCAGATGGTATGTTGATGCCACTTAGGGATCCTTTACATATATTAATAAATACTTGGAGTTTGGAAAGGGTTAGCCACAAGGTTAAGCCCACTTAGGGGGCTTGTAAGCGGGTTAGAATCTAGGTGAATCTTACTAACTTGGCAACGAACACCCACGTACAATTTTGTGTCTCAGGGTTTATCTGCTTTGGGCCCGTGCTAAAAATGAACCCAAACGGAACCGAAGCCAAAATGTGGGGCTCACCAATTGGGAGACCCAACCCCACAATCCGGCTGGAGACGAACACCCGCGCACCGCGAGCGAGCGCCGAAACGGGGCCAGACACTGCCAATAGACAGCACCTGACAGGTTGCATGTTGGCATCTTTTTGGCAAATGCCATCCTTTGGGGGGTTCCCAAGTCCCCTTTGCGAAGAAGTATGCTTTGTTGCCCAAAACACCCCCCAAGGCACACCTCCAGTTTTGGCCTTATTCAGTCTTCCCCAACGGGGTGGCCGCTCCGACACGAACTTCCGAATCGGGTGGAAGAATGGAAGCAACTTTGTTTCCAATGGCAACGCAACGAGGCCAAGGAAAACACTAACAATCTGCCGTGATGGCTTACATGTGCGTTTACACAGACATTTAGGCCCTTATAGCACTCCAAATAGGCACTTATACTTACTTCTTCAAACTTAACTTCCTTCTTGCTTAGGCACATCTAGGCACCGATGTTTGATGACCCGCAAGAAAAGTGGTACAAAAGCAGAAAAAGGAATCCGTCCACATCAGGGCCCGGTCCAGGTCCCGAATCTTGGGACGTGAAAAACAGGCCCTTGTTTCTTCTTTGGGGTGGGGGTCCAACGAATTCCGTCCAATGCAAATCTCCAGGCCCTATTTACTTGGATGTTCAAGCAATGTCAGTTAAGTAGGTTGTTAACCATGGTTAGAAGGACACTAACCCCAGTTGCCCCAGATATAATCCTGATTATGCTTGAGCATCCAAGTAGGGAACCCCAAGGACCCCTTGGGCAACAAAAAAGCGATCGGCGAGGTCGCCGACGCAACCACGGAAAATCCACCAGCCCCCTGTCAACCAAGCCAGTGACCATCGGATTTAGCTCTCATTTCTCACAGGGCAAAGAGATTGATGTCAAAGGCTGACCATCAAAGGGATGCAAATCACAGACCCGCAGCTCAGCTCCGGGCATGCGCCCAGTCGCTTCTGCATCGATGCACCTGGGATGAACCTCACCTCGCCCCAACATGTTGAGGTCTTCTCACAACTGACGCGGATCGGGAACCCTGTAGTCTCAAGATCATGACCAAGATAAGCGAAATCACCTCTCAATCTGAAAATCTGAGTTTACTTGCCACAGACTGAATATGTTTGGCTCTTCAGCGATGCAACCCGCCAACAAAAAGTTCAACTCGGCAAACTCAATAGGCAAGAAGGCAAGGGAAGGGCTTAATTACCAACGCGTAGCTGGACATGACAAGGTGTCTTAGGAAAACAAAATGCGACTGGAGAAAAGCAAATGCAAGAACCCACAGTCTGTTAGTCTCCCCGTGGATGCCACTGTCAAAACTAGTGAGTCCTCTGAGTACTGCGGCAAATGTACCGAGCCCCCATGTCTCTAATAAGTCCACAAGAACCAGTGTTCCCGCCAAGACAATCATCACGGAGCAAGGTCAAGCAAACAACGCAACTCAACAAGAACCCATTCTACTTTTCAAACCCCACCAGCCCAACCCACCCCACCCCAGCCCCACTTTTGAGGTGGGGCGCGGCTCAGCAGCACCTGTTGCATCTCCTCAGGCTGCGCATGGCCCAAGACCTGGCCGGAACCGCAGAGCCGCGGCCGAAAACCTGACATCTCCAACCGTTTCTCTCACGTCCCATCGAGTGGACTGGACCAAACAAAAGGTACCCAAGCTTTGTCATTTGTGTTTGCCACTGGCATGGTCTTTCCCGGAAAAAACAAGTTGGACGTCCATGAACTCAGGGAGTGAGGTTTGCTGAACCGTTTGCCGTCCGTTGTTGTGGCAAAATCTGACTAGCCTAAACCTGCTGTGCCATCTAACAAATCAGCCAGCTATACTGGTGTCTATTGGTGGCTCGAGGCCATGTTGCAATTTCGGACCAAGTGCCATGACTGTATGTGCACCAAAAGGGTGCGAGGGCTCCATTTTGTGACTACCAAGGTAGGCTTAAACCCAGACGTTCCCCTGTTGAAACCAACCAGACCTGGGCTCAAGTCTGCACCCTGCAAGAGTGCATGTTCAAATAGGGAATTAATTTGAACCGCTGAGCACGGCTTTGGTTTCCCTTTACACCTACCCCTAAAAGAGCACCGAGCCTCAAACATACACACACCCAAAAGGTGTCGTCAGATCCCGAGGCCAAGAAGGATTTGAACAACAGCTTTCTATTTGGGAAGCCCCCTATCCACTTCCACGATTGTTGACTACTTCCCGTGGATGCATGTGAAGCCCCTTTTGCAGTTTCATGGGGATCCTGGACCTACAGAGACCGCTGGCGATCCCATTTCTAAACGTTCAACATTCTACAATCATCCAGCCCGACCAAACCAAGAAGACCATCTAATCCCATTAACACAAATCCAACCAGATCACACGAATTGGAAAGTACATGTCCCCCCGGGAAGACTGTTGAGCCATGCGACCCTCAAGTTTTTCCATGTCTTCGTCTTGAACTTCCCCTGGTGATCTGCGCATTTCCACTGAAATCAAGAAACAACGACACGGGTTAAGTCGCTTGTGCTAGGAGATTTCCAGAGCGCAAGGGGCTCCAGTTCTTTCGCTGGGTTGTTTGAAGCGAACCCAAGGGAACAAAGGTGCAGCGAGGTAACGCGGTGCGACTCTACATAGGGGACCCACAAAATGCGGGTCTGTTTAAAACCACCCAAAAAAGGTACCCGGCCTCAAAAAAGGGTAGCCGCAAAAAAGACACGAACGCTTGTGGTGTGGTAAACTGCGAGGAGCAACCTGGGTCTTGCATGGTGAAAATGGGTGCCTGGTGGAAATTCAACATTTGCTCCTTAGTTCTGCAGAAATTTTAGCCCAATGGCCATGGGCCACATTATGTTACATCCAGAAGGCCATGCGCCAACTCAGGCCTGGTCAACTCAGGCCTGGTTGGGGGTTTGCAGGCGGTTTCTGAAGAACCTCTGTGTCATATCCCTGGGTGACGCTGAAGGCTTTTAAAACAAGTGGGACATAGGGGCCGTTTGGTTCTGAAGGGAAGACAAATCTCCGTTCAACCTGGGCCTCTTGTCAGCAAAAACATGACTCTTGCCGCCACCTAAATATACCCGGAAACAACGCAGCAAACAGGTACGTTCCTACACCAGCATAGTCAAGCATGTACAGAGCTTCATCGCATATAATCAAAACATGAACACGCTGCGGCCTTTTGGTCCTTGTCCACGCGTTTGATCACGCAATTCGGACCTGAATCACAGATCAGCAGTGGGATCAAAACACTGAGCAGGTCCGGTTTCGGGTGGGATAGCTCACCTGTCCTGCTGAATTTGTTCAAGGGACGACGGCATTGCGGCTGGAGGTTTTTGGAAGGAGATCCTGATGAGTCACCTCAAGAGGGGTTTTTCTAGGGCTTCTGGAAGAATTGGACAACTATCCGTCAACCGTTGTTTTGTTTTTGGAATTTCAGCATTGTGCTGCTTAGGATCCAGCTACATGATGGGTTGTTTAAATGAGATCATGCTTCATTCGGATCTTAAAACCCAGGTACACTGTGCATCTTTTGTCACCTCCAGTGAATCGCCCGTCTTGCATGCCTCGTTTCTTTTCGTGCCTTTGGTGCATCCGTCAGGATGTTCCTTTGCCACCTTGGTTTCGGGTTGCTTCAACGATTCTGGCCATGGGACAAGGCTAGACATCTGATCTCGTGAGAAAGGGAAAGGAAACACACAGATACGTTTTGGAGTTTGGGGTCGATCATCTTTTCGAGGTTCGGAGCAAGTCCATGCCGCCTAGGCCGCATTTCTTTTTGGGGGGGCTCGAGAGATCAAAGTGGCTTGGAGGGCACCTGAACCTTGACCTGGGTGTCAGGCCAAGTCACTAACTGTCTTGCCACCTGGGTTGCTTGGGTGCTCAAGCAGCTTAGTAAGTAGGAACCGCATGAAGCACTGGGGTATTTGGGGGCGAGTCCGCCTTGTATAACCTACTTAATTCATAGCTTGAACGCCCCAAGTGCAATGTATAACCCGCTTGCAGGGTTAGCTACCACTTCCAGTAACCCGCCCCTGCACTCCAAGCGCCCGTGCCGAGGATGTCGGCAAAGCTTCGGATGCTTCCTGGCCCAGTATGATGTGCAAATACAACTAAAAACACAGATCATTGGAATGGGGTGGTGTGGCACTTTCAATCAAAACTACGTGATCATAGGATGTTCAGCCCCTCATGTTGAACTCCAGATCGTGTAAAAAGCAAATATCAATGCTAATATGTTTAGCAATGGCGGGAGGCTGGTGAACCCACGCCTGAGGATCCTTGCCAGTCGTGATTCTGTTGCCTTAAGTCAGGGAACTGCTCGAGACCTAAGTGGCTTGCCGTGAACAGACGAGATCCAGCAAATCCCGAGCCAACTGGCAACAGACTGGCCGCCTGATTTGAGGGAAGACAGCGAGGTTGCCGGGGTGGGATTTGGGGAGGGTGCGTGGGCCAAAGGAGTTGGGAAGTCAATGGACCCCACTTCATCTCAAGGGCAAAACAAGTGTTTTTTTGTGGGGTCCGGATCCAGGTGTAAGCAATGAACATAATGGGCTTAGTCCAGTCGTCATAATCTTCACTTCCCATAAAACATCATCCACGTGAAGCAAGCTTCATTCTCCAGGTTGCTCTACCCCCTGCGAGGTCGTGGGTTGAGTTGCCAAGATCGGCTGCCAGCCACTCTCAAGGGCGCAACAAAGTCTCAAGCCCCGATCTCGGAATGGCCTGGCTCGCCCTCTCCTCGGTCTACTTCTTCAATCTCCTGGCAACCAGCAGGAAGCATCTACGTGAACTTGAATGTTCAACCGAAGTCAGGCAAGCAGGTTATTACCATGGTTACTGGGGCTAGTCTCCTTGGCTATAACCCACTTCCCTGACGGTACACTCAAGCGTTAACCAGGGAACAACTTTCTGCCCATGTTCCAGGCTCTATGGATGCGAAGCCAAGACGGCGCATCGAAGCCATAGGGTGGTTGCACTTGCCCGCAGTCAAACCCTTGTTTCATACTGCTAGTCTTCCCAACAAGTATAAGTCCAGGAATTCAGGGGGCAAGAATGCTGAAGGGTTTACCCCAACTTATGTGGTTGGATATGTGATCGTTTCACTTGCGATAGGGAATCACCCTGTGTGTCAAATCTGGGAGCCCGCAGGGAATGGTGTCCAAAAGAAAGCCTTTTTGGGTTTGGTTTACAAGGAAACCAAATGGAAGCATTCTGGCGTGACTCAATGACACCGAACTGCAAATAAGGTGGAAGCTGAAAGAAACAGGAAAAGTGCATGCGGCTGGCCCCGCACAAAGCAACAAGTCCGATAGCAACGCAAAATAACCTGCTGAATGTTAGTTCTACTGACCTGGTCATAAAGGTTTATTTCTCTAGGCCAGACTATAAGCCACAACCACCTACAGCTGCCAATGGAGGTTTTGGACGCTCAATGGTACGTCGTTGCTGCAAGCCAAAGTCGGCCACTTATTCCTGACATTCTCGCACAGCCCAAGTATCCCTGGTCACACAGGCTAAGCTTGAGTCATAAAGTGAACTTGGTGGCCCTTGACAAAACAGAACTGCCAGTAAACCAAACTAGAGTTTGTAATCACAGCAAGTGAGTAGCAACTTTAGTTCGGTATTAATTTGCAGGAGGATCTGCCCAAAACAATTATTAGTGCGCTTCAACTATTAAACGTCGCTGCCAAGCACTGGTAGAAATGCCTGCCATACAAAGTGTGTTTGACTCTGCATAGGTCTTGCTCAGAATCAAACGTGCCAATCAATAAATTGCTATGCCCTCTGTGGATATGGGAAAATAGAGTCCTCTGGCTCTGGTGGGAAATATAGGGAGTCAAATCTCAAATGCGTGTCTGTACATGTGTGTGTGTGCGTGTCAAAACTAGAGCGCGTGCAAATAAGATCATCTGTGCACTTCGTTTCCAAGAAACCTAAACATGGCTCTCCCTCAGCTGTTCAATCAGATTTCGCATTCTCCTTCCCCAAAACCAAAAACAAGTCGTGGCTGAGGTGTTTTTCCTGCTGACACGCACGGAAAACCAAAACAACACTGAATTGTTGCTGGTTTGTGGGCATTGTCCATCAAGTTGTGTTGTTTTTGTTGAGACTTGCTCCCTTATGTTCTTGCTGAAGGTGTGACCATATGCGAGCACGCCTTGCTTCGATGCGCATCGACATCTTTTGCTGAACATTTTTTCCGGCGCAGTCAGCGACCTCAGTCTAGATTGGACTGAAAAGAGGGGGACTAGAATCTACATATTTTAAAGCAAAGTAAATTCTTGACTCAAGTCTCATAAGGCTCCTTACAAAGCTCCTTGTTGAGCTCCTTACAAGCCTCATTGTAAAGCTCCGTAAGACTCCGTTTAATTCTCACTATAAGGCTCCGTACAAAGCTCATTGTTGGGTTAGTTGTAAAGATCCTTATAAAGCTCCCTTTGAAGGCTCCTTGTCTTTGTGCAAAACCTTCTAAAGCTGCCTGTAAAGTTCCATATAAGGTCTCTTATGAAGCCCCTAACCGACTAAAGCTCCTTACGGGATCCTTTCAAGGCTCCTTATACCAAATAGCAT